TTTTTTAGAACATCGAATTTTACTTATCGCATAAAAACGTAAAAAAGTACTTTACACAGTTCGTGTTTTATATTCTTTAAGTGAAAGACATTTTTGAAAATAGGTGATGCATGTGTCTGGTTTCAAATTATATTTTATGCAGCCAACATTTACTTGAGGAATTGATAAAGTTTAAAAGGGTGTCGTTTTTGTTCGATTTTCATCTGACTTTAAGTTTTCAAAATATTCTAGACTATCGTCTCCATCATTTAGACGCATGCCTTTTTCACACATATCGAAGCGGTTTAATGATCAAGACTCATTTGTATTTAATTGATGGTTACATCAATGTTTTCTTGTTTTAAATTTGTATATATAGGTTAATGAGCTCCATGGTAAAATGGAAGAAATTTGAACATCATAGAAAGTCTGCAATTTCTTAATATTTTAGAGATTTGATATATGCATCATTTACAACCAAATTAAGTCCAAAAATATACATAATACCAATCTATGCAATTTATTTTTCGTCTGTATTAATGTGTCCCTAATCCGCTGCAAATTTGCTAATATTAGAAGTCATAGCAGCTGCATTGAAATTCTTTTAATCGTTCTGACACGTACACTACTTCAGAATTAATAAAAAAAAGTAATTTGTTAGAGTTCATTGGCCTGACTTGTTTTAAAGGTGATGTGAGAAATGCTAAAGGTTTACCTCAGGTGAACAGAATGTGACAAAATGTGACTTGAAGACTCTGTTGAGACTGTAGCTCTAATGTTTCTAATGTTTTGTATGTGACGCTTACTCACTTACAGAAATTATATACATGATCTTTGTGTTTTCTCAATTTTACATTTCAAATTGTAATTAAGAGGAGCAGCATTTTGAAATATTGTTAACAAAGAGACAACTAGACGAACGACAGACACCTTAGCAAAGCTTAGCAAAATTCTTCCGGTTTGTGGCCTGCAGAGCTAAAAATCAGCAAGACAGAGGCACACAGGGCAAATACAGAGGTTACATGAGGTGAACTTGTGTACATAGTCGTTTGTGATATATTTTGAATATTCTCAGTTTCTTCTCTTTAACGACTGAACCAATTAAAATTAATTTTGGTAAATACGTCAGAGGTGCCAAAATATGTCATATAGATATGAAACGCAGAAATCCATAAGCCTTTACTCGTGATTGTGCCAAGTAGTCCTGACCATCGACATATATACACATAGCTGTAACATCTATGGATGACATACACACACGGACATACAGACGTAAGATGCTTTATATTTCAATTTAGAAAAGAAAAGAAAAGAAAAAGCAGCCGCTTTTGGAATCGTAAACATAAGTAAAAAAAAAACAACAAAAAAACAGAGGTTCTTTGAGTATTGAGGTCACAAAATGATATCCCCCGTTCCTATATGAGTATAATGGCAATGTCCTTTACGGGAAAACCAAAATATCTGTCCGACCAGAACGTAAAATAGTAGGTACGTACACAATGACACTATGTACTAAAAATTCCGTCTTATTAAATTTCATTCAATTTCATTCAGTTATATAAGATGAAATGTGGATAAGAGATGGGTACTCTTAATATTATTAGAAAGAATGGTAGTGTCCATGTTTGCTATGGGAAACCCCAAATATTTGTTAAATTAAAACGTAGCTGCAGAACTGTAGCGTTGTGGTTTTATATTTTAGTCTTTGACCATATTGTCAAAGACTAAAACATAAAACAATAATGCTGGTCAAGGACTAAAATATAAAACCATAACGCTAAAGTTCTGCAGCTAATTAAAACGTAAAATAAAAGGTGCACAATTACAATATATGTAATAAAGATTATGTGAAAGATTCATTAAATCTTATCCACTGGTATAAGAGGAGTTGCGGATGAGAGATGGGTCCCTCCAAGTGTAACGGACGTGAGGAGGTCCCATTACTACATACCCTCTGCTTTTCAAGCGGGGGCAGGGATATAATACTAGTAAGCCACTGAAATGGACGTTATGCATTATTTCGAGAGATTCTTTAAAAAATAATTGTGAGGTAGATGAGAAGAAGGATTAAAATCACAGACTTTAATTATTACGCATCAATACATAAGATCTTGATGAGATTAGTCTAGACACAGTGCACGTATCATTGCGTCAATTCATCGACCCATGGCTGAAAACCGATTTTTTTAGGTTCATTGAAATGGGGGGAAGGGGGGGGGGGACCAGAGAACTATGTAACATTCGCAGTTTTAAATAATTAATGCATAAAAAACATAAAAAAGTTTTTTTTTTCATATTAATTCAGTAATATTGGTACATTTACACGAACTTTCCTAAGCATTCTAGGATTCCTAGCTATACCTTATTCTTTACTCATCTATAGCACTGACTACACCCCCCCCCCTTTTTTCGAAAAATCTGAGTGACAAACCCGTAGGTATGAGGAATCTATAATAAAACATGCACCGGTGAATTTAGATTTAGATACATTACTAGGAAATACTTACATTAAATTGCATATATTGTCCTTAAGTTAACAACAGCACTCCATTGTTTGACGCGTTTAATAAATTACTGAAATGCATTTACTTGCAAGTTTATGTTTCGCCATGTGCATGAAAAATAACCTAAAAAATTATAAACCGATGTTTTTGGTTACTCCACAGACCCGAAGGTTGAATCATCTTATCGCAATTTTTTTATGGAAGAATCACTTCATATAATTTCGACCTATATCACATTAAAACATCTACGTCGACCTTTCATTAAGTGTGTTTTAGTCCTTTTTAACATTTAAAAAAAATAACTCCGATACGACCACTGCGCTACAGCAGATAAATGTAAATGGTAGAGATTGGAATTATTTTGCCTGTTGACTTAGAATCGCCCCCTGGAAACTTCAATTATCGTTAGGGGATTTTGCGATTAAGAGAAAAACAGCATATCGTTATTTGTCTCCTAACTGAGGGAATGGTACTTAACAAAATTCATCTGTAATGTATTTATTGATTGCCAACCAAATCTATTGTTTCCGCATGGGTCAAGTGCTCTAGGCACCATTCTTCGAGGGCTTTCATGTCAGATTTCCATGTCGAACGCGTCAATATTCATTGTTTAATGCACTGTACTGACAGTTTTCCCAGCATTTTTTTTCCATTCGGTGTCCCTCGGTGGCTTGGCTTCCAGTGCTTAGTAATTTAATTCTTTTGTGTATGTTTTAAATTTGATCGACTCATGAAGAATCAGCGAAGTTTCTATCATATCCAGGCTTTTAAAAAGATTTTTATTCTCTTTTTAAATTGTAGGCTATTACGCACATCATTTGAATTATCCAGTAATCTTTTTTTAAGTAGATATATAGTTGATGATTATATACTAATAATGTCATTAAAAGTTGAAGAATTTGAATGTCACAGCCCTGTATTTTCAAAGCATATCGTGGTCCCTCGTCTTTTTTGTTCTTTCTTTCATCTAAAAAACTTTTATGATTAAAACGGTGTTTCACAGATAAACTAAGGATCTATTAAAGCTGAAGATGCTTATTGCAAAGTGCAGTTGGTCAAATTCACGCAATAAAACTACCGCCTAGATTCTGGGTGCATAAAACCAATATCTGCAATACTTCGTACACTTTGATGCTGGCTGTGCAAACGATCATTGCCTCCGGGTGCTGGATTTGACCTATTCCTACACGGGTCGTAATGGCGTTGAATTATTAACGCAGTCTACAGAACTTATTTACAATATAATGATTGATTACTAAAATGATATATAATGTAAAATATTATCACGAAGAGATTTTCCAATAAAAGAATCAGAGATAGATTAGAGAACAAATTGATTTGAAACATGGCACTATAATTGAATTCTATCGTTCACTACATTAGCTTGCACTCTTCGATGTTTCAAACAATGCCATTATATGGACTCAAGAATTCTGAAGGGAACAATTTCCCCCATCAGACAAATCTGACATAGTCCTCCATCATAGGGATACATTTCTAATAAATTTTTGGAGGGCGTTTATTTTTACGGAAAACAAAAGCTATACTGAAACATAAAAAATACCTACTTGTCATTACGTGAAGGTGGACAATTCCATACCTGTTGAATGTTAGACCAGTTAGGAAGAAATGCTTGTAAATCAATAAACAGTTAAATTAAACTCATCTCCTTAAATATTATCACATCTCCACCCATGACTTCATTAGATATGTAAACAAGTACATTCAACACGGCAAACGACTGGCACGTGTAAACTTATCTGACATTAACATTCACCATTCCAAGCATCCTCTTAATGTTTTACATTAAGTCTGTCAGAAGACACAAAGTTAATGTAAAATGACCAATGCAAAGCCAGTACCATAGTTCATATGCGGTCGTTTAGCAGGAAATTTTATATCTCTGAAAGGCGATAATTAACCTACACTTTTCAACCAATACATTGTTCATCAAAGTAAAAAATATACATATCCTGAAATGTACAAGCAATAGACCAATAACACCGTTTTTCAAGCTTATGCAATTTGCTGAGGGCACGATAGTCCGAAATATCTGGCGTTTTCCATGCGTTTTTCAAGATTTTGGTATTTGGCGTACCGGTTTTCCTGGCACGTCAAATGTGAAAACCGTGAAAAACGCCTACAAAACGTCAGATATTTCGGACTAAAGGCACGCTTGACAGTACACCCGGTGTAGACGATTTCTGCAATATGTGAAATGGATTTTGAAATAAATATTTGTATAAAATTAAAATTTTGATTTTTCCCCAGGAATGTTGACACTGCACGAAAAACCACATGCCCGTTTAATACGCAGGTTACAACAAAAAAAAAATCTTCAAAAATTTAGATCTATGGAAAACACCGTTTCTATCTTCTTATGTAAAGCTGATAAGATAGGGATAGGTAAGCTTTAAGCCATCAGTAAGAGCAGGGATCATAGACATTAAAAACAATCTGTGTTTTGTGTATATCTAGAAGTTTAAACACAAGTATTGTGCGCACTAGAGCTTAATTGCGGATTTAAGTATTTTTTAAGGTTCGATCTAACATTGAATACAGATTACCCTAATCTGAAGGCATACTGCTTTCTTTTACACATTTCTAAGTTTAATGTACGACTGAGCTGAAGTCCGCCATGAAATGGGATTCTTGCTGTACGATGGTCGAGGAAAACCGGGAAATGATGGTAAGGAGATTTTTATGTATACTCAATTCCTGCTGCCACATAAAGACAACATTAGTTATATTTAACAATAACCACCTGTCCGTATTTACCTGCGGATAGAATATATACATACAGTTCATTATATGTATATCATTCATATTGCATACACTGAGGCATCTTATAGGCCAAGTGCTTAATGTTACTCCCCGTGCACAGTATTGTGGATATAGAATAGACCAGAGTTCCGATACAATTGCGTTTACATATGGATATATGCCTTAATAAAGGCTTAGTAAATATACAACACTTATTGTTCTCATTATAAATTTATCACAATTTAGTAATAACACGATATTCAGTGTTTCGGTCATAAGTTATTGACACTCGATGGTCACCTACTGTATCGATCATCACTTGGTGATTGTCTAGATATTAGACAAGGTAGGGAGAATTCAGACCTTCCTTGCAATTATTGAGAAATTTGATACGCAAAATCTCTATGAAATAAAGAATTTTATGGCTTACACTGATCGAGAACCAACTGAATATGAACATACAACCTACCCCGCCCTGCATGCTACAGGAAATTTTGGCTACTTTTGACACCGATTAAGTTGACTCAAAAAGAAGAGAATTCAGAGTATGGGTCACTTCCATGAGGCATTGCTTAAACTACGGTAAAGTGCGAGAAACTCCTAACGGAAAATTGCATGTCTATAATAATCATCAATGGCCAATACATAACGATAAGAGATATTTATGTCAAATACTTATATGAAGACCTTCTACATGGAATTATCGAGGAAAAGATACTGGGAAACCTTTTTTCAGATTGTGTAAGGGTCAACTATATTTAATCAATATGTATTTATTGGAGATTTGAATGGTAAAATATAATTAAGGGATAAATTAGCTGCAGAACTGTAGCGTTATGGTCTTATACTTTAGTCTTTGACCATGGTGAAAGACTAAAATATAAAACCAAAACACTACAGCTCTGCAGCTAGGGATAAATACATCGATTTAATCACTATAAACACATTCAATTAAAGAAGGTGTAACCATATTATATAGACACATTTCCTGTGGGTTTTGGGAATTGATCACAACAAATCCTATATAGGTGCATATAAGAAGAAAATTGCAAAATCACGTAAATAAGCCTTATTTTGCTCGTTTCGGTAGACTGATGGTTTTGATCCTTCTTTATAAAAATGATCTTATTGGGTGTGACTTTCATTTATCTAGTTTCAAACCAGTATTTCTTCAGGACCATCTTTTCACTATGGTTACTGGAGAGTGACAGTAAATCTATTTATAGTTTTTTCGTCCTCGCTTCTATCTTTACATCTATATATGATATATTGCAATCCCGACTTCAGGTAAATACAATCTGTTTTTATTTCATACATTTTTTTAAATAAATTTTGTTGGTGTGTTTTTAATCATGTTTTAAAACAGTCAAAATCAATTATTTCTTAAAGATATAGTATCTCAACTAAGCAATTCATTAATTGTAAGCATAAAATATATATATGCCGTCAAATGACTGCTGTTAAACATACAGTTCTTTGCCCCAATTTAAGACCATCTTACGTATATCTTACCTCTATTTTATTTTATTTTATTTATTTATTTTAGTTATACTTGTATTCAGGTTATGATCTTGGGATCCAAACCGTGTTCTTCTAAATTACCGATTAACTTTTGAAAACAATTGTTTACATTGTTAGAAGTAAATTTAACACCAGAACCATAGGCTAATCAATGTACATTAGTGTGTGTTTTTAGTTTTTGTATGAAAAGCAAATACACTTGACCAGGAGCCAAGCTTTGGTCGTCTTAATTCAACATAGCGCCACTGTCTTTACAGATTCTATGGCCGCTGGGTTGGGGCACAAAGAACTAATCGTCATTAGTAGTGTACTTGGAATCATTGCTGTCCTCGTTTCGCTCGCAGTTGGGACATATTGTTACAGGTAAGCATCGTTTGGACCCTAGAACATAACGTTTCTATAGCGTATACTCGTAAATGGGACCACTCGCTCCTTCTATTCCTTACAGTAGTTTTGGGTCGACAGCGCAAAAAAAGCAAAGAGCAAGGCCTTCGGATAGCAAAGTAAGCTAGTGAGTTAGAAGACTCCAGACGGCGAATCTGTGAGAGCAATGTTATTAGGTAACTATGCGTGGCAAAAGGGCGACATATAAGCGTCACCTTCGCTTTGTTGCTGGAGTTGACGCATTGTCTATGATTTTGCTCCTTCGCTCTGCCCTCTCACTCTCTAACTTTGTTAGCTCCTTCTATCTTAAGGAGCAAGTGGTTCCATCAATTCACTAGCTTTAATCACTAATGGACGAGTAAGCTATGATGTACTATCAGTGCGAGATAATATAATGCGGAATATACTCTAGGTCATACAGTTGCCATCTTCGGGTTTATGCTGGACATACTCTTTGGGGTAACCTATCGGGCAAGGTTATATCCCAGTAAGGTATTGTTGAAAGCACTTTTACATAAGTACCAGTAAGTCGTAAATTATATATTAGGGCTATTGCAAAACACACTTTTAGGGTAAATCGGCCGTAAGTTATTATGGAAGGGTTATTAAAGAAATTCAATCTCAAGGTATTCGCAAGTTTTATTACAATAAAGTCAGTGCGGAAAGTTTGCTTACGATATGCAATTGGTCATATTTAATTAAAGTACGGTTGAAACAGCCTTTAGTCGGACAAGAGGCCTATGGGCCACATCGCTCACCTGAGCATTTGGCTAGGAGTTCAGTATTTTATAAGTGGTTTTAACCTACCCCTAAGGGAAGGGGGATGATTATAACAAACTTGAATCTACACTAACTGAAGATGCTTCCATATAAATATGTTTAATCATGGCTCTGCTGATCTTGAGAAGACGATTTTAAAGATTTTTCCTATGTATTCCTATGTAAAACTTTGATCATTCACTGTGGTCCCGCCCCAACCCCGGGGGTCCTGATTTGAAGAAACTTGAATCTACACTATCTGAGGATGCTTCCATATGAATATGTTTAATCATGGCTCTGCTGTTCTTGAGAAGAAGATTTATTTTTAAAGATTTTTCCTATGTATTCCTATGTAAAACTTTGATCATCCATTATGGCCCCGCCCTACCCCCAGGGGTCATGATTTGAAGAAACTTGAATCTACACTACCTGAGGATTTTTCCATGTAAGTTTCATCTTTCCTGGCCCAGTGGTTCTGGGGAAGAAGATTTTTCCTATGTAAAACTTTGATCATCCATTGTGGCCCCGCCCTACCCCCAGGGATCATGATTTGAACAAGATTGAATCTACCCTACCTGAAGATATCTCCATATAAGTTTCAACTTTCCTGGACCAGTGATTCTTGAGAAGAAGATTTTTAAAACACCCGCCAAATTTTCTTTAATTCTTAATTATCTCCCATTGAAAGAAGGTGTGGCCCTTCATTAGAACAAACTTGAATGCCCTTTACCCAAGGATGCTTTGTGGCAAGTTTGGTCAAAATTGGTCCTGTGGTTCTGAAGAAGAAGATGACATTGTGAAAAGTTAACGACGATAACGCCAACGACGAGGACAACGACGACAGACAACGGACAAATTTTGATCAGAAAAGCTCACTTGAGCCTTCGGCTTAGGTAAGCTAAAAAGCAGTTCGTCATACTTTATTACAGCAGGGTTAATGCTATAAACGTACGTGTATTCTTACGGGTAAGCGATCATATAGTTTATTGCAATAGCTAGCGTTCGATCATTTGTTGTTACAAGGTCAGTGCGATCTTAAGATCGGGTTACTGAGGAATGTATCATGTTTCAAGTGAGTGTAGGTTAGAAGTAAAATTGTTAAGCTACCGTAAAAATGCAGGCATTTGTTTCTGTACTAAAGTAACTTTTTACCCCGACAGGGTAAAAAGTTATTTCAAAAACAAGTGCCTGTGCGTAAAATGTACCATCTATCGGTAACGAAAGATGCAAGAAACAGTGTAATGCATCTTCATGTAACATTTGTCTTCATCCATGAAGAGAACCAAGGGTTATCAATCATGCCTCTTGTCTGTTTTGCGATGACTGTATCGTCTAAAGTTGGAAAACTTTTACAGTATAGATACGCAGAAATATTAAAGAAGACATCTTTTGTGAGGCACCGTGTAATTCATGGACTGGAGGCATGGAGTGGAGTTATGGAGTGGAGTTTGGAGTCAAATTTTGGAGTCTGTTTTTTTTTTAAGTTTGATTTTTGCTGTAAAGCACCAGCTTAGTGCAATGTTTAACATGACTCCTGTTGCTAAATTTAGGTAGTCTTGTTGAATTGCCTTAAAATCTGCCCCCAAAAAAGACAAATAATGTTTCTTGTTTTTTTTAGTGGGTGTCATTTATGCCCACTTCATACTCCATAATCCATTTCAAGTCATTTTTCTGCTCCTTTGGCCTGAGATTTTCCGATTGTTTAAGGAAATATATTCTTTATTTCAATACCCCAAAAAATAAGAGCTACTGAATTTGTGAGCTTTACATTGATCAATCTTAGTATCAATATTATCAAATTTAATTTGTCTTATCGAATTATAGAATTAAAGCTATATATGGCGTATCTGAGCTAAAAAAATAAAAATAAAAATAAGATATTGAGTGTAGATGAACATGAAATTTGTTATTTACGTTCAAATTAAAATTTTCACCGATTTTGAACTTGAATAACCTCACGTTTCTATAGTTAAATTGATTTACACTGTGTCTGATATTAAATGCGCATTCGGTAAATAAATCTGTTATAGTTTTAATTTTTTAATATCTATGAAACGCGATTGATTTAAAGTGTGTTATTTACAGGAAAGTCCTATCTTTATATTAAGTAATAAAACACCTAGAAAGAACATTTTAATTTAGTTAGTCTGAACCTATCAAAAATACGCCATATATGACTTAAATTTAAGATACAAAATTCATCAGTTGACAACTCTGGAGTTTTAATTTATCTCATATTGCTACAGGAAGTGACGTGTGTGCTCCTTAAAATTGGAACACTGTAGATGAACATTTTAGTTTATATTTCTGTTATTAAAATAAATTACATTTGTATTATGAAGTAAACTAATGGTATGCAGTTTATTAAATCTATATTTGAATTATTTGTTAATATCAATTTTGACATTGACATCTTTAATAAAAATTATTGATCAAAATTTTTTTGTAACATCAATTAGATTTTTTTTCACAACCAAATCTATATTATGAAAGACATTGTATCAGTCATATTTGAAAGCTTATGTTCTAGGAGTTTATTTAACAAATATTCATTTAAGATATGTTGATTGTTTTAACAAGACTGGTGAAGATCCCATTATCTGTTACCTAAATCTCAGGATTGTTCATATTATTTTTCATGTTATTCATGTTATTTTTTATTTGGACAAGTTAATCTTCTGGTCCAACTCTTCAAGTTAATCTTTTTCCACCAAAATGGATTACCCAAAATTATTGTACTGTTAATGAACAGCGTGCTGATGTGAATAAATAGGTCTGTTATAATCGCAAAACACTGCCTGCATCCTCTTGTATAAATAACTCTTGATAAAATGAATATGTGGGACATACAGTGGCTGCATCAAATTCCCGCAAATTCTTTCAGATAAGGTCATGGGTATTAATTTCACTCTCATTGTCAAAAAGTGTGTTATCTAAAACAGTGACAGTTTATTCTATGTTTTAATCAAATTTAACTGTTACATAAATAATGATCACCATTGCTTTCAACACATAATTGGAAGGTGATAAAACCCTTTGAACTAAATTTTAGCTTTCTGTCACATCTTTGTTATGTCAGCTAAAACTTTTATAGGTTTTTGACCACACAGCTGAACAATGTATAGGTTAATATATTGTTACAAGGTTGTTTGATTTTTGACATTTGTTCACATCCATATAATCCACATTAGAATATGATAGATTATTTTTTCTCTATATATAATTTAATTTAGATTTGCAACCATCATTTTAGTTACTCTTAAAATGTGACTTAAAAAAAAGATTATCAATAATTCACAAAAATTTACTTAAATAATTAAATATTATGATACTGTAATAGGAATACAATACATTGGTGACTCACAATTTTATCAATTTAGAAGTTAATGGGAAGGAATGTACTGTGATGCTAGTTAAGGATGATAACACTTATATAAACTCCCATATAATGCAATGATTTTAATACCCCGGTACATGCATGCTAATCTGTGGAGAACAAAGTTAATTCAACACTAGGTCACATACACCAAAATTAAATGGTTAACATCTCTGAAACTGGGGGGTGTGTAAAACACGAAATGAGAAACAAGGAATGAGGAACAATGGAATAAAAAAAAAAATAACAAATGACCTCAAAATGTCAACCAAGGGGACAGCTTTTGCCTTGATTGAATTTTGTTAGAAAACAAATACCGCCTGAAATTAAAACATCTAACTTAGGTCAGATTTATCAGTGATCTGACATTGCGAACCCATAAAGAATTGACAGATTTAATTAGATATCAACAGCTGAAAAGTACATGATTAACTGGTAAGAGACAAATCACCTCAAATTATTATCTGATTGTTACATAATCAGAGAAAAAACAAAACATCAAATAATATATTTATACATTTGTTTATCAATAAAATATATATAGTAAGGAAAGCTATTATACCATTGACATTACATTTCAATTGTAACATTACCAGAATTACTAAATTACAAAGATAGTTTTGAACATTGTGATAGTAAAAAGCTAAATGATCTGTAACAGTTCTTTTTTGACAGAGTTCTAACATATAGAAATTTGGACCATTATAGAGTACCCCAGCAGAAATACATTCACTTAGCTTATCACTGAAGGTATCATTTGATGACAAATTTATTATTATAAGCAAAAACTGAGTAAGCATTTCTTTCAGATGATAGTATTGTATTAATCAAATCTGTCGTGATA